GCACTGTGAGTTTATGGGGCTACTTAACTTGCTATTTGCTAGACATGTGTTATCTATTTGTTACTTGCTTCCACACTCATCCATGTTATGTCTTCTTATCAATTTCAAGAGATTATTGGCTATTGCACTCCGTCCTTCCATACGTGCTACTCRGTGGTTACTTTGTGTTTCACCCGGGGAGGCATGCTTAAGCCCATATTAGCTGAGATTACTCGGGTATGGTGCGTATTTGACCGTGTTAGAGTCYGGTCATTTTCCCTACTGTCCGGGATAGCTCGGGTGGGAAGATCATTCCACTGGCCGGGATAGCTCGGGTGGTATGAAATATATGATATATATTGTTGTGTTTGCCACGACCGGGATAGCTTGGTGGCAGTACATATCAATTATTGACCTTCACACAATTTAGTTGCATACTTTGATATTCTGATGTATGATTCTCGAATGATGATTATTTATTACATGATTTACATCCTTCGTGATCATTGACTTCCATGGATTACATTTGTTAAGCTTTAGTAGTTAGTAGTTACCGTTTACTCACTAAGCATTATGTGCTTACCCTTTTAGTTGTTCACATTTTTACAGGCCGTGTAGATAAGGCAAAGAACAAGCTCGAGTAGATTGAGATCTTTGCTTTTGGTGCTTCCAGTAGCACGACTCTTTTGGTATTATATAGTTAGTCGAATACAACTATGGATTGTAAATTATTAGTTGTCTTTTGGTTGTAATTAAAGTATCTAGATAACGGATAGCTAATGTCCTCCGTCTTGTATATAGTTTAAACTTTATGCAAATCTATTAAGTTTATTTTGTCCGTTTTAGGATATTTTGGAAAACAGGTGCTTACGGAAACGTCCTGTAAACYAASCRGACATTTCGAATTAGAAACTCGTAAATATTATATCTCGTTTGCTTTCTAAAGGTTTAAAAATGTAAYTTTTGGTGGTTTGTTTATCATTTATAGAAATGAGGTGTTACAAACATTTTATCATTTATGTAATGTGGGTCTTTCAAAAAATAAAAACATTATCGTCTTTTTAAAATCACATAAGACCATATTATAAAACCGACCGAGATAAATAACAAAATAAAATATTAAAATCTAGTTGTAATTTAAGATTACAAGCTAATTAAGCACAAATACAATTTATTAAACTCCATGTTTGAATTCGTATAACTTACTGTAGATAAACACCGAACACTTATTTTTATTTTCTAAAATATCTAAATTTTTAAAACTCTTCACATCTAATTGATAAACACAAAAAATATGACATAAAACACGTCATTTTTTTATTAAAGTATATTATCCTAATTTTAAATATAATTATTATTTAAAACCAAATGATTTTCGAGCTTTAACAAAATACTTTATCATTAATTAAACTAAAATAAAATATATATTTTTATTTTAAATCTAAATCATAATAAAACTTAAATTTAATAAATTAAACTAAAAAACTAAAAATCTATAATCTTTAGTTTGAAACCCATATTAATATATACTATAAGATAAAATATTAATCAACGCAACTCTCCCTTTCTCAAAACTGTAAAATAAAATAAAAAAAAGACAAACAACAAAATAAAGTATGGATCATGATTGAAAATTCAAGTTATAGATTTTGAAACCGTGGTGTATTGTACGGATACACTTTTAGTAATATTAATATAATAATTATTTTTTAATAAAAATTAAAAGAAAAATGAATAATACCTTTAATTTAATTAAACTAAAATTAATGTTAAATTCTCTTAATGAAAAAATTTATTGGAGATGAATGTAATTTTTTTTAAGATTTTAATTTTTAATTTTCTTTAAAAAATCTATCAAAGATACTACAAAAGTCCAACTAGTTTAGTATTCCGCAAATTGCCTGGAAACTTCTCTGAAAACTTCCGCATGTCCAAAATGGCATCTCATAATTTCTTTTTGTCAAGGTTTGGTGAGATCATTAGGATTTAGCAGTATAATAAAAAATTATTATTTAAAATTATCTATACTATATAATAAAATATTTAAAAATCATTTTTTTTTAAATTACTATTTATTGATATATATTATTTAAAGTTCAAGATTACATTAAATTTTGTGTAAGTATAACTTATTAAAGCTTTATTTTTAAATTCGTGTAACTAACTGCAGATAAATATAATCAGATATAGGATAAACATTCATTTTAAATATAGAAAACCTAAAATATTATTAAGATAATCATTAAGTTCTAACAAAATGTTTAGTTATTATCTTTATAAAAAAAATATATTATTAAACCAAAAATAAATTACTTTATTATTAAATTTAAATTAAATTATAATAAAAAATTGAATTAAAGAAGTTATACCAAAAAAACGAAAACTATTACAGAGTTAATTTGATACTAATATCGATTTTTTTTCAAATTTTTATGTTATTTTCAAATTTATATTTCATTCAAAAATAAAAACACTACCGCTTTTCAAAACCACATAAAATTGTATTATATCGATAGAGATAAATAATAAAAACTAAACATTAAAATGAAGATTTATCTTGTTGTATTGTGCAAGTACCCTTCTAATATTTAGTTAACATATTTCCTGCCTTACTTTTAAGGATTTATATATTTAAAAATATTTATAAAAGTTCTATAATTTTATAAAGTAAGGGGTTGTTTACTAAACGTTTATCCGGTAAGTACTTATCGGGTAATTTTCCTCACCGGATGAACATAGTAAGGGCCAATAATCTTACCCAGTAAGAGCGATGATAAGGATGGAGAGTCTTACCCGATAAGTGAGGGTGACGAATTTTACTCGAATAAATGCTTACCAGGTAAATTGTTGCATATGATACATTTTGATGTACTATAATTTTATTCAATAAAATAAATTATAATATTGACTCCTAATGTTAAACACTTATCGGGTAAGCATTTATGTAAATTGCCCTTAAGAAAATATTTTTAAAACACTTTAAATTTTATACATGCTCACTTCTGAGCCATAATAAATTTTCTTATATGGTTTTGAAAAATAATTTCTTTAACATAAGAACAGAATTAAAATATATTTACTATATGTACATATAGCATATTGAAAATTAATTTAGTTATACATCAAGCATGGTAAATATAAAGTTTAGTCCGTACTTTTTAAGTCTGTTTTTGCTAAAAAAAGCCCGGGCTTTTTAAAACTTGAGTCGGTCCAAAACTGAGTTAGGCGTAAAAATAGTCCTACTCAAAGCTTTTCAATCTTGATCAAGCTTTTTCAAACTTACTTGGGTTTTTTCAGGTCGGATTTTTCCGGACTTTATAAAAAAAATAGGGGGTGATTGGGTTACAATAGACTAGACTTTGGACTTGTGTTTTTGTGCATATCTAGTGTATAATAATGTACATTTCTAAAATTTAAAGGTACATGTTATAATTGTTTTGGTATAATTTTTTAATTTTCATTTAAAATAAATAATCGATAATATGCCTTTTCTTTTAATAATTAATTGTATCATTTAATTTACAATAACTTTTGTAGAACTTATGATTTTTTCAGTGTCAATAAATAATTATAAAATCAACAAAAAATCACTTCACACCAAATTATAAGAGACAAAGTTCTTATATAAGAACTCTTGGAATATAAAGCTCTTATATAAGAACTCATAGAATACAAGATTCTTATAAAAATTCACTTCGGTAATAATTATTTAAAAACCTATATTTTTTATTTATAAGAACCTAGATGTTCTAAGGGGCTTTTTGCTTTGTTTTGCATTAAATCTCATATGAATAAAGTTGTTTGGATAGGTTAATTTGTCTGTATAGATTGGAAAAGTTTTTTTTTGGAGGATTTTTCATATGAAGAAGTGTATTTTAATTGGTAGGGATATGTTTGGAAATTTTTTGCCTTTCTGCATAAAACTATTTCTTAGAAGCTTTCAAAATAAATCACTTTCTACATCACTATCAAACAATCATATATAACTTATCAAATAAACTGGAAGTACCATTAAATTCATTTTCCTACTAACAAAAAGGTCTAAGGGGATGTTTACCAATTTTTCTATTAAATCTTGTATGAATAAATTTGTCTGTCTAGATAAATCCCCGGATAGAAACATGTCGTTGTTTACTTTTTTTCCTGAATTACAGTCTGGACGGTTTAAATGACTATTTTACCCCTGAATACAAATGGTATGCATCAAAATGTTGCCAAACACAACCTTGCTATAGATCTAAGCCATAGTCTGCTAAGCTCAAAATATTGATGAGTTTAAATTAAACAAAACCGAGATATAGATGAGGGGAGAAAATGATGGTGGACGTCAAAGTCGATTACTTTGCAACATATCTTGCCAAAGATGTTGATGGGTCCGATTAGGGTTCTGTTCTCGGTGATGCAGGGGGTCGAAGTCGAACGATATGAGGGGATAAAATGAGTCGAGAGAGTCCATAGAGATGGGTTTTGTTCTCGGTGATGCATAGGTGATGAAGGTTCAGTGAGGGGCGTTGTTGGGGAGAGATGAACGGAGAAGAAAGGGCGTGAAGAGATGTCGCCGGTTGCCGGTCCTGAAGAGATGAACGAAGATGTCATCGATCGTCGAGCGTGAAGAGAGGGCAATAGGGTTCTGTTGAGGAAGATAGGTCAGACATGAAGATAGGGTGTAAGGATAGGGATGTCAATTTTTTGGCTGAATGTAAACAAGTGATATATTTAGATTGTGTGAATAAGCCCACATATTTTTCATTAAGCTTTAAATAAACACTTCAAAATATCAGCACAAATAAGCCCAATCAATAAAAAATAAACACCCCCTGAGTTTTTATTCTAAAATTTAACTTTACAAACGAAGAAGAGTTTGGATGACACGACATTCACATTCATATTCAATATTCACTATACTTATCCGTTTCTGCACGTGTCTTGCACATGCGGGTGGCCCTTCCACATGGATACCTCCGTCAAATTATCTCCTCAAACCTTCCGTCTTTATTTATTGATTGCCATCTTCAAAGGACAGAAGCAGGTATCAGCTCTCACCACTTCTTCTTTCACTCCGTACCCTTTTGGTAGGTGGGTACCCTAACAACTGCTTTTCACCCCTCATCTATTTTTCTTCAAAAAAGGTGTTGCTTATGATGCTTTTTTGCTCTATGAACTGCTGATTTCCAGTAATCTAATCAATTAGATCGTGGTTTTATCTTGGTTTGTACTTAAGTGCTTTGATTCTTTGTTTTTCTTAGTAATTCATCTATTCATCAGTTACTTTTTGCTTGATCTTCATTTTGAGGCAGTTTTTGTTGATTATATCTGCTTTCCTACTTCATACGCTACTTATATATTCGACTTCTATCATTATGATTTAATTTTATGGCTTAATCTAGCTGAATCCTTAGATTTTCCTTTTTATGTTCTTCAAATTTGTATTCTGTAACACTACATGAAGTAATTTAAAGCAGAAAATCGACTGTTTTGTTTAGATCACCATGGGTTATTTACGTTGACTATTTTTAGTCGAGGGTTTCTTTTGGTTTGGTTTTTTCTTGTTTGTTGGTTCGTATACTCTTGATGATTTAGACCGACTTCTGAAGTCAGTGACTACTTTTTCAACTTCATTACATGCATTATTTTGAGTTTGTAGTTAGATACTCGATTACTTCATTAAAGTCTATAAGCAAGTTGAAGATTTTTTTTTGCCAATTTTTACCATCAAATTTTGTCTGTTTGACCAGAAAGGGCAAAGGGTATGTGTGGTTTTAATTGGTTTACATAAGTAATCTGCTAACTGTTTCCAGCAGCAAATCGATGCTATCTGTGGTTTTCACATAAGACTTGTACAAATATAAGCATTCTGTTGGTACTTTATTCCTTTTTCGAATACATGAACCCATCCCTTTTTCGAATACATGAACCCATCAGATTACGTCATGATGGAGAGCATCTCTATCATATTCTCTAAAATTTCTAAAAAAATGAGAATCAAAACTCAAAATCTTTAAGAAGAAATAAACAAAAACAAAGTTACATTATTTTGATGAGTCTTCATTTTGGCGGAAGCAATAACAAGTTACTTATCTCTTAGTTGTAGGAGTTGTCCAAAATTTGAAGAATTTTACAGTCTCTCTTACGTTTTCCCATTTTTTTTGAAGCAAAAAGGTAGTATAAAGTCCCGAAAATTACCATTTTTCTCCATTTTGGAGATCCTTTCAAGGAGGACCCAATTATTCTAGCAGATGTGTGACTCGGACTCCAACGTCTAAAAAGACTTCGTCTTGAGGAGGCAAAGTACTGATATTGTTTCCAATATCTTGATTTTTGTCAGGAAATTGTTCAACATGGGGATTCGATATGTTTGGTTGGCGGTGTGTTTATGTGCTCTTTTACCCTCTATGTTTGATGCTTCCTCTGATGGGTTACTGAGAATCAACATCAAGAAACGGCCTTTGGATGTTAATAGCATTAAAGCTGCTAGAAAAGATGGCAAATATGGAAACGGTCTCAAGACCACCCCACTTGGTTTGGGTGATTCTAGTGTGGATTTTGTCCCCTTAACCAACTACTTGGATGCCCAATACTATGGAGAGATCGGTATTGGTTCTCCACCCCAAACATTCACAGTCATATTTGATACCGGCAGTTCGAATCTTTGGGTTCCATCATCCAAATGCATATTCTCTGTAAGTTTAATCTTATTTACTTTCTATGAGACTTCATCACGATTGTTCTACTTAATACGATTAATTGTGTGCAGATTGCTTGCTACTTCCATCACCGGTTTAAGGGAACACAATCAAGTACTTACACGAAAATTGGTAAAGATATGACCATATTCAATTGATGATATATCTTTTAGTTATATATATATATATATATATATATATATATATGGGGGGGGGGGAGGGAGGTTAGGGAAAACCCCCAAAAAAATTAAAAACTGAGTAACATCCTAGTCAACAATCTGGACGATATGTGATTTGTGCATGTGCATACAAGTAACTGAAGTTGTTTTTGGTTTCTATGCACGTGCACATGTTATGCACATGTGTATACTAGACAAATTGCTCACAAATTAAAGAGGGTATTCCTCAATTTTTCAGTTTTACGGTCTCAATTTTTCAGTTTTTACGGGTTTCCCTTGAATATATTATATATGCACATATTCATATATTATAATATACACATACATATATTATATATACATATACACATATATAGAGGAGCAATCAAATGCAAACTACCCATATTTGTACAAACCGTACAAACCATCCTCATCCGTCGATTTCATTGTTTAATCTTATGAAATTGTTTCATATAATACTTTTTTTTGATGAAGTTATTTCATATATGGTTATGAAATTGTTTTATATAATACTTATGAAATTTTAATGAAACTGTTTCATGTATTTCTCAAAAATTAATATAATGAAGATGATAATATCCATGATGAACACCTTTCACAATGAAAATGATTAATCAACCTCTCATAATTATAAAAAAATGAACAAAATGAAAAATTATGATTGGTTGAACGAGGTTTGTACAAATAATGTGGTTTGCAAAGTAAACGTCCTCTATATAGATATATACACACACATATATATAGGGAGGATCAAATGAGAACGGTACCTATTTAAAAGAACACAAAAACAGGCGAATTACATGTGATTCTACACTAACATCATATACAAAATCACATGTGATTCAGGCGACCTTGCCCGGAGAAGGTGCAGCCACAAGTCGCCTTTACACTTTTTTGACCATTAATGTAAAATCACTGTGATTTTGTATGTGATATGCCCGTTTTCATGTTTCTTTAAATAGGTACCGTTCTCGTTTAATCCTGCCTCTCTCCTCCCCCCCTCTCTCTCTCTCTCTATATATATATATATATATTATATCTGAAACAAGTTTTTATTTCCAGAAACATTACTTACCTATACTATTTTATAAAGCATTCGACTTTTTGTTTAAAAAGACTCTTAAATGTTTCAGGGATACAACAATTAAAGCATTTATATATATATATATATATATATATATATACAAACTCTTTCAATTTTATAATATTCCTTTTTTGCCATTTTGTAAACAAAAAAAATGGTAGCTTGATGGGTTTTGGGGAAACCATATTATCTTTCCCAACTGATCGAATCAAGTTTTCGAAACCACAATTCAACTCCTGCGACTGAGACACTCCATAGATTTGTATTATTCTTTTAAAATCTAAGCAAATTATATTAAAAGAAGTAATTTATTTTCCTTAATTTAATACCGATATATATATATATATATATATATATTTACACATATATATATAGAGAGAGAGGGGGAGGGAGATTCACGGAAAACCCCAAAAACTGAAAGAAGTGATGAATACCCTAGTAACTATTCATCTCGACGGTATGCACATGTGCATACAAGTAATTGAAGTTGTTTCTTGGTTTTTATGCACGTGTGCATGTTATGCACATGCGTATAATGGACAAATTGCTTACAAATTACTTTTATGTACATGTACATACCGTCCAAATAAACAGTTACTAGGATGTTCCTTACTTTTTCACTTTTTGCGGTTTTCCTCTGAGCTTGACCCTATATACATGATACACACATATATGTATAGAGTGACATTCAAATACAACCCCTCTAGATTATACAACCGATGCAAGCCACTTATCCACCATCCATTTTAATTTATTTTATTTTTTGGTTTTTTTATTAAGGCTAGTTACAACTAGTGATGGCCAAAAACCGGTCCCGGGCCGGGCCTAATCGGTCCCAAGCTTTCTCATAACCGGTCCCGGTCGAAAATGGTAGGACCGGTCAAGGTACTTCATAACCGGTTATGGGTCGCTGGTCCCGGTCCCGACATTAAAAAATAAGATTTTTTTAATTTTTTAATGATATATATTTTGAATACATTATAAAATTTACAATTGAGTCACTCAAATACACTTTAAAAATGCGTTTTAATATAATTAAAATTACATTGTCTTATGAAAATACATTGTCTTATAAAAATACATTGTAAAATTATTTAAAAATACATTTATTTATAAAATTATTTGAATTTTCGGGCCGGGCCGGTTCATAGCCGGTCCCATAACCGGTCTCACGAAACTACCAAAAACATGAATTGAGATATATCGTGCTGCATTGAATGCACATTTCTAGTTGATTACTATTAGGTAGAAACAAGGTCATCATACATTTTACCCTCCCCATATCCTACTCCCAGTGGGACTCAGAGTTTGTTTTGGTTTTGTTTTGATTATTGGTAGTGCTAATTAGTATATGCCTGATGTTTGTATCTCTTTCCTGTTTAACGATTAGGGGATGCTTTGCAAATAAGTTATGGATCTGGTACAATTTCTGGATTCTCCAGTAAAGATGCTGTTCAAGTTGGAGATCTTTGTATCGAAGATCAAGTGAGTCTTCTGTCTCGAACTTCATATCTGTCGGTTCTTTCTTGTTTGTCATTTATAACTTGCATTGTATTTCAGGATTTCATTGAAGTTACTAAAGAAGGAAGTCTTTCGTTTGTATTGGGCAAATTTGATGGAATTTTGGGACTTGGGTTCAAGGAAATTTCAGTCGGCGATTTGCAGCCAGTCTGGTACTAATTTATCTGAAATTTACTAATTGTAATTTTTCTTTGTTCATCCAAACGGCTTAGAATTTCGTCTATTTCCCTTCCGTAAATCGCAGGTATAATATGATAGACCAAGGCCTTGTAAAAGAACAAGTGTTCTCTTTTTGGCTTAACCGTAATGAAGATGATGAAGAAGGTGGTGAGCTTGTCTTTGGTGGTGTTGACCCAAGTCACTTCATAGGGGAGCACTCATACGTTCCTGTGACTAAAAAGGGTTACTGGCAGGTATGTCTATAAATCACCCAAAGTTCTTGGCTACCATAGTTAAAAAACCAATAATTGACCCACATTTTGTGTTTTACAAATATCCTGCAGTTCAATATGGGGGATTTCCTTATTGGCAATCAATCTACAGGTAACTTTTACCATTGAACTAAAAGAAAGTTCTTTGTTTTAAAAGGAGACAAGGGGGGGGGGGGGAGGGTGTTGTAGTGATGACCTCTAAGGTATTACGACCCAAAGAATGAGATCCAATACCAACATCAATCCCTTTGGGGGTGTTTGTTCATGGATTTTGAAGGAATTGGAATGGATAATTCCTTTGAYGAAATTCCAGATCATATATTCTGTCCAAACAACGAAAATGTGGGAATCCTTTGAATTCCGTTGAATTCCATAAATTAATAAATTCATCATTCCTTGGCATAAGTGAAGTTGAATTTCATATTTTTGGGTCCAATTTAACCAACGCCGCCCAACCCCTGCTCCAACCACGACCATGCTACCACTGTCACTTCACGCCCCAACCCCTAACCCCCCACCACCATACCACAACTGTCATTGTCACAACCGCCAACCACCCTCACGTTACCCTAACCCCCAACGACCACTAACCAACATGCCACTACTATTGTCGTCACAACTGCCACGTTGACCCCACCCCACTCACCCACAACCACCCCATGCAGCGCCCCCACTGCCACTCGACCAACATGCCAATAATGTCGTCGTCAAAGCTTACACCATGTCACCCACTCATTCCCACCCCACCGACCACCATGCCACTTGTGTTGACGTCGCAACCACCACCCACCCTAACCCCAACCATCCCCACCCATTGACCACGATGCCACAATTGTCGTAGTCACAACTACCACCTCACCCCTGGCCACCCCACGCCACCGACCACCATGCCGCCCGCTGCTGCTGTCATTGCCATAGCAACCACCCCCATCCACCCAACCCTGTGGGTGGCGGGGGTGGTGGTGACGGGGGCGGGCCACCACCCACCCATTATGGGGTGGGGCGGGAGCACCACCTCTCCCCCACCCCACCGACCACCATGCCACTACTGTATTCGTCACAACTACCACCACCCACCCACGTGGGCGCGGAGGGGGTAGCATTTGGGGTGGTGGCGAGTTGCGGGCTGGGCAGGGGTGTGTGGAGTTGTGACGACAGTAGTGGTCAGTGGGGGCGGGGTGGGGTGCGCGGTGGGCTGGTAGCTGTGACGACAACAGTTGGTGGTCGCTGGGGTAGGGGCAGAAGGCTGAGGATCCGCTGCCTCCAGGGCCACCACTAACCACTTGTCGTCATCACAGCTGCCACCCCCACCCTCCTCCCTCCAAACAAAGATGGAGGTTCCAATTTTTGGAGAGATTTCATTTCAATTCCTACCAACCAAACGCGTGGTCAAGATCCATTCCAATTCCTTCAAAGTCAATTTCTTTGATGGATTCCAAATTCCATCAAATTCCATTCTATGAACCTAAGGGGGCGTTTCATTCTCTGGAATGGAATCGAACAGGTTTATGGTCGTTAGGGTACCGCAGCTGGTAAGGCATTGGCTTTGCTCTGCTCTTCTGTTCAGGACCATAAAGGTTTGCCTAACTTAGGGCCCAGTGGATTAGTAGAGGCGTCTTATCCCACAAAAAAATTAATAATGAACATAAATGCTCCATGACGCTGATTTTATCAGGGTTTTGTTTCTTAAAAGCCTTTCTTATTCTTCAGGATTCTGTGAGGGTGGTTGTGCTGCTATTGTGGATTCTGGAACGTCATTGCTCGCTGGTCCAACAGTACGTGTTTTCACATTCCGCTTATGTTACCACAACAATTCTCGCATCTCTCAAGTTAATTGTTCTTATATCTAATAAATTGTTAAATTTCAGACTATTGTGACGGAGATCAACTATGCAATTGGGGCTGAAGGAGTACTGAGCAGTGAATGCAAGACACTTGTTACTGAATACGGGGATATGATTTGGGATCTCCTAGTATCTGGGGTCCGTATTCAATCCTTTCATATTTAACCTCTTTTATTTTGTTTAGAAATTAGAAAAATAACTTGTTATGCCAATAATACAACTTCCAGGTGACGCCCGGAAAAGTTTGTTCACAGGCTGGTTTATGTTTCTCCAACGGAGCTCAGTCTGTCAGGTACGAACACATTTACCGCATGATCTTTTTCCTTCCCATTTTAGTTATTTTATAGCTTAAGCATGGCCGCGAATCGGTGACCTTGGTGCAATTATTTGAGAGAAGCCGAGTAGTCCCATTTAATCTTTTGAAACGCATAGTTCAACTATTAATTGAATTTATTGGAGAGGTGGGCGTGTGTAATTCCTAGATGGCCGGTTAAGCGGCCTTGACTAATCAAAGTGGTGAGACAATGCTCAACGCATAGCCAATTGGTATAGGGTCCTGCTTAAAACATTATTTTGGTTTGCCAAGGAAATCCATTTGACAACTTGGGAAATAGGTAACTGAATTTGATGGTTGAATTGCAGTTCAAACATAAAAACAGTGGTTGAAGAAGAGAATCGGGGACTTCAGGATACGGTGTATTGTGAAGTGTGTGAAATGGCTGTTATTTGGATGCAAAACCAGCTGCGACAAAAGGAGACCAAGGAAGTCGTGCTAGATTACGTGAATAAGGTGATTTATTGAACTGTGATTCTTACAACACCTTTTTGTATATACATGTATAGCCATAGGTTCAAATGAGAAACCCTAAAAATATAAGAACTGAGAGAAGGAATCTCAACACTAGTTTTCCATGTCTTTTTCCACTAATTAGATAATTAAGAAAAAATCAAATATCTTAATTTATTTCCTTTTTTTTTTCTATAACATATTTTAGATATAATAATCATTGATTCTTTATCCAATTTTTCACCTTGAACTCACTTCCAATTTTACATTCTACAAATCGAATTAAATTGCATTTGCCTAAATCTCATATGTGAACACGAACAACGATGCTTTTCGATGGTTCATATGTGCACATGTGAATCCTAACATGGATTTCACATATAAATTCTAATCATAACTTGTACGTGAATCAATTTAAAATTTATAAATGAGATTTTAATTCAGTTTAAGATTCATATGTGAATCGTAATTATAACTTGTATGTGAGACAATTTACAACGTATAAGTGATATTTTGAATCAATTTAAAATTCATATGTGAATCTTAATATATATATATATATATATATATATGTATATGTATATGTATATGTATATGTATATGTATATGTATATGTATA